AAAATTATATCTAATTTACAATAAATGCTAATTAAAAGTATTAACCAATATACATAAATCTCCTTTGCCTTCTTGTCAAATAGCTATGTAGATTGTAAAATTATCTTAAATGTTCAAAGGGATTCCTAAAGGTTTTTCTTTTCTTTTTTCTCTTTCTCTTTTTGGTCTCAACTACGAATCAATAAATCCTTGAGCACACTAGTCCTTTCTACTCAATAAAAGGCAATCATATTATCAAAGTGAAAACAAAGGACACTAACAGGATAGTGAATAATCCAACACAAGGCATTGCTGTGCTAATGGTTATTTCCATTAAATCTAATAACTACAAAACAACCGAACTTGATCTTACAATCATCAATAACCACTCAGATTAGCACATTAAAAGCTTTAATGTGGTTGGGCATGGTGACTCACGCCTGTAATCTCAGCACTTTGGGAGGCTGAGGTGCGCAGATTGCCTGAGCTCAGGAGTTTGTGATCAGCCTTGACAACAGGGTGAAACCCCGTCTCTACTAAAATACAAAAAATTAGCTGGGCATGGCCGCATGCACCTGTATAGTCCCAGCTACTCAGGAGGCTGAGGCAGGAGAATTGCTTGAACCTGGGAGGCGGAGGTTGCAGTGAGCTGAGATCACACCACTGCACTCCAGCCTGGGTGACAGAGCAAGAAGTCGTCTCAAAAAAAAAAAAAAAAAAGAAAAGAAAAAAAGTTTTATTCGTTTTAATGTACAGAGTTATGACAACATGTTATTTTAAAAGCAATGACTTTTCATTTAGGTTGATGAAAGAATTAAGTAGTAGATGAATAACCATCAACTGAAACCTTAGAAAAGTCACTGTTACTAACTAAAGTATTATAATGACTTGTTGTATATTTCTCTTATACTAAGCGTACAACCCCATCCCGCTACTTCTTTATTACCTTTTGCCTTCATCTTTGAAAGTATTTCAAGTTAAGTGATGATAAGCAGTTCATTGTTTTAAGAGGTGATTTGTGATGATCTGAGATAGCAACCCACATTTCATTTACTGCTATATGTCAGCTCTTCAGGTTTTCCACTAAGAATATTAGAGGAGTTAGTGAAACTTTGCTTTACTGGCCCAGGGTACTCAGCCATTTAATCAAATAGTTAATTAAACATTCATATACTGTTTCAGAAAAATACATTATTTTTGTGAGTTACAGATCAAAGGTGTATCTTTTTGTATTGAAAATTACATAATTTCTTTGAAATGTTCCTTCTGGTTTACATCAACACTATTAAAACTTTATGGCTAGAAGATCCATTTCTCCCTTACTCAGCTGAAAAACATTTACTGAGTATCTGCTGTGTGCTAACGCTTATGTGTTAAACTGGGAATACAAACTGAATAAGAAACAGTTTGCCTCCACAGAGCTGAGTGTCCTAGAGAGATGTGCCCAGATGTTGCAGTCATAATGCAATGAGAAATGTAATGTTGGTACAGGCTGCTATGGAAGCACAGGAAAGAGGTGCATAACCTCTCTGTTAGAGTCAGGAAAGGCTTTTCTCAAATGGCTGAACTGAATTCTGTGGGATGACAAAGAGTGTTCAGTAGCATGAAGCAGGAGAAAGAAAGGCGTGCTAGGATTGCATAGGTAAGAGCAAGCAGCCGTGACATTGCCAAGTGGCGGCACAGTGTAGTAATTAAGAGCACACACTCTGAGGCTGGGTGCAGAGGCTCATTCCTATAATCCTAGCACTTTGGGAAGCCAAGGAGAGGGGACTGCTTGAATCCAGGAGTTCAAGACCAGCCTGAAAATCATAGCAAGATCCCATCTCTATAAGGAAAAAAAATTAAAAAATTGTCAAGCATGATGGTGCCAAGACCAGCCTGAAAATCATAGCAAGATCCCATCTCTATAAGGAAAAAAAAATTAAAAAATTGTCAAGCATGATGGTGCACGCCTGTGGTCCCAGCTACTCAGTAGGCTGAGGCGGAGGACTGCTTGAGACTGAGAGGTTGAGGCTGCAGTGAGCCCAGATCACACCACTGCACTCCAACCTGGATGACAGAGCAAGACACTGTATCAAAACACACACATATACACACACACTATGGAACCCGACTGCCTGGATTCCTCCTTGGGTAATTACTTAATTGCCCTGTGCCTCAGTTTCCCAATCTGTAGAAAGGGCATAATGTGAACACTTACTTTAAGCGACTATTACGAAAATGATACTTTTTGCAGAGCGCACAGTAAGACCAGTTTAAATGTTTACTGTTAGAAGAGTTGGACGGCTGGGTTCTTGACGGCAGTGGCAGAAGGGAAGAAGGTTAAGGCTGGAGAGTAGGAATGGGCCCAGGGATAAGAGGTTCATGGTTAATTCTGAAAAAGAAGCCATAGCTGGATTTTTGGCATGTGAATGATGACCTACGGTTAGCTTAAGGTTTTAAGAAAGAACAAGCAGTCCTGGGGAGACTGGAGCAGGATGCAATATAAAGCAGGGAGGTGAATTAGGAGGTTCTAGAAACTTACTGGATGATGGTATGATAGAAAAGGATGGCTCAGGCACTGGATAGGAAAGATGCCACACTTTACGATCAAACTGAGCTGCAAAAAAGCGTGCTTACCTTTTTGGCCTTTAGTATTTATAGGGACATAAGAAATGTTCAACTTCCTTCCTTCCCTCATGAGACTCTCCCTCCCCCTCACGTTTTTTTTTCTTTTCTTTTTTTTTTTTTTTTTTTTACAAAGTGAGATGACTTGATTTTGAAAAAAACTGCAACTGCTAAAAAGTATTTAACATAATTGCAGTCTTGCCACTTGGTCTCAAGAGTTTCAAACTTTATCTGAAACCTTGAATTTCAATGACAATATGCAAAATTTGGAAGCTATATTTTGGCCTTTTTGCTTTGGTTTTCTTTTCTGAAAATGTGGCAACATTCTGGCTGGCCTTGTTTTCCTCTGGTGTTATGTGATTCTCTGACATCAGCACCGATATATTCAGCCTGACATATGACACTGGTTGGCATGAGAAAGAAGGGGAAGATGGTTGAGTTATGAGCAGGACATGACAGCTAAGCTTGAGACTAAGTGGCATCTGCAACAGGTGTTCCTTGGGACCAGAGTCAGAAAGGGCTTCTTCCTCTATTTTTAAAATATGGGTAACACTTTCACAGCTATATAGAAACTGTGAAAACTACATGCTCGTAGTTATTAGATACAATCAAGATATAGTATTTATTATCAGCAGGGTGGAGCAATTCAGTGTCTTTCTTTTTGTTTTCTTCTATTTCTGAATTAGAAGATTCTCATGCCTATGGTAGAGGTCCTGAGGTAAGAGGATGAATTTGCTAAGTGCATAAGATTTTGTTAGTTCAATGATACTATATCCTATATGTGTCAAACTTTTATGCCTACAGGACTGAGAGTCTTCTCTATCCCTAGAGGATCATTAAACTTAGCCGACTGTCTGGGAATTGACAATGACAGAATAATTGAAAAACCAAACATTTTTTATTTTCCATATAGGATTCTAAAGCATTCTAGCTATTAAGCAGTAACAAGCCACTTTCATCAAAGCTGAGTAGGCCATGTTTTCCTCCACATTTTTTTTTTTTACTACTTTTAATTACTTTCAGAACTACTACTAGCTGTTTCCATAACAGCAAGCAAACCGGTGCAGTGAGATATTGGGTAAAACATCATAACATCTAACCCATTTTTCTTACATTATATCTTGGTCTTTGTGACCACCCAATTCTCAGTCCTCGCCATTTTTTCTAACCATAGTGTTTGGCAGACACTTGGATCCAAGAAACGTTGGTCTGGATTTGACCCGGTTCTCTAATTTTGAGTCTGCAAACCACAAAGCATTTTTTGAGGGAAAAAAATTTCATTTCCATGTCCAGCAAAATATTACGTGAATTTACTCACTAATTTGACTCGACCTAATTTTCAAAAGATATATAAAATAGGAAGCTAGTGTTATTCGTCTTGTTTGCTAATCACTGTGTAAGTCTAATACTTTTTCTTCATTATTCACTGAATTAGTGAAGAGCCAGCATCAGAAAAGAGAAAGTCTACCCTCAAATAGATATATTTATAAAAATGTATTTGTAAACCAATTTTCTTTATTTTCTTTCTTATAATTAGCAGGCTATTCTACTTGACCCTGGCAAAATATTTTAATTAGGCTATCCATGGCTATTTCAATAAACTTGATTTTTTTTTGACATTTCAAACATAACCTTGTGTCATTCATGCCTGCCTCCTACTATTTTAAATGTATAGCATGTTCCAGCTGCAGAAATTACCATGGTTACTTGTTATGCCAATAGTGAACTGCAGTTGGCATTTGAAAGTATTGTGCTATCTTGCCTCTGCATTGAAAATGACATCAATATTTCAATAATCTTGATATTATGAATTAACATGGAAACCTGGAGATATGTGACTGAGACAATTATTGGTCACAGTGTAAGAAGTTCTTAGCTGAAATATATTTTAGGGTCTGTTTGGGATGCATTATACTCATGTTCTCTAAGAGTTCATTTTAATGCCAATGTGATTTTATTTTATTAACAGTATTGTTGAATGATTACAATCTTAACCCCTTCTTTTCTTTATGTACTCTCCTTTAGAAATACACAGAAGTTCAAAATTTCTTTGGGTGGAAAATGATTCACATTTAATGTGAAATAATTAACAGAGAATACAAAAGTATGGTTTGCTAAAGGTACTCTTGTGTCCAAGGATGGTATCCGGGATTAGGTCGATTGGATCAGAGCCCTTAATTCTCTGCTGAGCAGTTGAAGTTTTATTAAGGAAGGTTCTAGTTAATAAATAGTTTTCTTTTAAGTTATTGTTTAACCACTCCTGCTTCAGAAAAGTGCTTTAAAAATTATTGGTGTCATTTTTCCAGTCCTCTCACAGATCTCTTAACTTTATTTGTTCAAAAGACTTTGTCCTGCAAATCACCTAGTAGAACTCGGAACAATGATACATACTGCAGTATGGAGTCTGTGCTTACCTGCACTGGTGCCTGCACCAGATGTGAGGTCTCCACCCATCAGACCACCTATGGATTAAAGAGGAAGATCAAAACGAGAAAGGCTAAAGGCCCACAGAACAAAACACTTTACCTTTAGCAACCTCAGTATTTTGTCCTCTTGCAATAGTCATAAACTTGTAAAGTACAACCCAAGTCAGATGGCTGACATTTGTTTTACTGTGCCATGCTGTGCTCAAACGTTAAAAATACATTCAATCACTGACATTTTGCAGAATCTTTTTTTCTAAGAAAGTTACATTTAAAAAAATCCAGTCTTTGGTCTCTGCATTTTTATTATTTCTAAGTCTAGGTTTTCTCTAAGCAGATGTTTATAGAAAGTGAAAGAAAGAGTAAGGTCTACTATATGCTCAGATGACTTCACATTTGATGTTTAGTTCTTTGTAAATATGTTGTATGCCATTAATTTTGTGTAATGTTAATTGTTCAGAAATTTGATCGTTTCATGAATCTACCCACATTTACTAATCAAATCTTATTGACTGACACAATATAACAAATTTTTCACTGGCCACAAATTAAGAAACATATGCTTATTCACTGCTAACTTAAGAAAGTGTGTTAAAATTTGGCAATGTTTATTTATGAGAATCAAGATATTTCAATAAGATATTGAATATAAAAATTACTTTTAGTTTTGAAAAAAACAAGATTCAGCCAAAAGAATAATAGTGAGAGTATCATCTAGATTTTCTAATTGCCTCTAAGTGATACTCTATAACTATTAGTTGGTTCAAGTTTTGGAATTAAAAGAAAATGTTTATATGTGTGTGTATATATATGTATACATATATATGTGGGTGTATATATATATAAACATACATACATAATTTTTTTTTATTTTTTGTGACAGAGCTTGCTCTGTTGCCCGGGCTGGAGTGCAGTGGGAGGATTATGGCTCACTTCAGCCTCAACCTCCCAGGCTCAAGTTGTCCTCCCACCCCAGCCTCTTGAGTAGCCGGGACCACAGACAGAAGCCACCATACCCAGTTAATTTTCAAAAAAACGTTTGTAGAGATGGGGTCTCTCTATGTTGCCCAGGCTGGTCTTGAATTCCTGGGCTCCAGCAATCCTCCCACCTCAGTCTCCTAAAGTGTTGAGATTATAGGAGTGATCCATTGCATCTGGTCTTCGTTACAGTTTAAGAAAATGTTTATTATTTCCAATCAAATAATATTTTGGAAATAAAGTATCAAATTAAAAAAATGAGCATGAGTTTATCAAATAGAAAAGTGAACTGCATTCGAGTATGATCTGAAAGGAATACATGTGGTTATTGAAAATTCATATGAAAACATTCAAATATATTCAAAAGTCAAGAGAATGGCCCAATGAAGTCCTTTGAACACATTTCCCGACTCAAGATTTATTAAAATTTTTTATTTGGATGAATTTAATTGTATTTTCTATACAAAGCTTCTGTAACAAAAATAGTAACACATGTTTGGTTCTAACTGTAAGGCAGATATATAAGTATTCTACAGGAAAATTCCTCCATGAATAAACTACTTTCATACAGCTATGTGTATGTAAGATACATTAAAAATCTCCCATGGGATACTTTTAAAAATATGAAGTGCAAATATATAATGGTTTGCTGTATGTGACTTAGAAATACAATTATTTTTGATGCTGCTTCTGGAAAAATAAAGGAATAGTTTTGTTATATTCAATATTCATTGACTTGGTTCCTATTGTGAATCTAGCAAATCAAGAGAACATTCTTCCCTTCAATGTTCTTTAAAACCAGTATCAAAACAGACACATATTCAATACAATTCATCATAATGTATTTTGATTGTTTTAAGTACTAAGAATGGATGAACTTTTTCTGAGCAATAATTTATTTTTCCCTTGGACACTGCGAATTGAACAACAGCAAGTAAAAGTGCAGAGACAAATTCGGGGCAGGTGTACATGTGTTTAATTAACTTCATTTCTGACTCAGCTTTGTTTTTATTTCACATGTCTTACAAATGATGCTATCTTATATTTTCTTTCTGCCTAAGTCGTTTGTGGGATAAGTTACTGTATAAATAAACAAAAAGTGACCTAAATAATAAATAACTAAATAGGATAAATACTGTCAGAGAACACAGGGGAAGATTTCACAGAAGAAGCGGTAGCTTGCCAGGAGGAAGAGGGAAAATGGCATTTTAGGCATGGGGGACGAGCAGAAGTAAAAGTGTGGAGAAAGAATATCTGACATCTGACACCCTGTTTTTGAGTATGTGGTTAAAATATAGCCACGGGAGGAGATAAGTGGCAGAATGAAAAAGATAAATGGCAGATTATGAAAGATTTCCAAAGACATACTAAAGAGTTTAGGCTCTATCATGCAGGAGACCTAGCCCCGGGGTGGATGGTAAGCCGTGAAGGGGAGTAAATGGAAAACCAGAAAACATCTCGTAGACAAAGGAGCGTTGGCTTTGCCGAAAGTGATCCCTTCCAATGATCTGTTAGCATTACATCCTCATGAGGACATACCTGTGTTACCTGCACTTGGAGGTCGATGTGTTACACCAGGAGACATACTATTCCTCTGCAGAGAAGGGTGAGCCAGTGGCAAAAGGTTGGGGTTTCCCAGTGAGCTGACAGGGTTGCTGTACACCAAACTGTTGTGGCTGGACACTGGGATGGAGACTGGCATCTCAAAGTTGGGAGGTGGAACAGCCTGCAGGAACAGAAAACAAAACATAGGTAAAAGAAAAGAATTAATAACAGAAGCTCTTCAGGACAGACAGCCCTTATGTTTCCAGGAAAAATTCTACATTCCAAACTACTTGGTGTCTAGAAGACCATTATGAAGAGCTCTCAAGACATTCAGATCACAAATTGATTTCTTAAATGTGCTTAGAACTCTTTCTTTGCAACCATTAAAAAACGTTTCACTTTTGTTTAAAACAAAGCCCCATTTCATTAGACTCCATTGTCTTTGGATTCCATTCTATTAAGTAGTAATTGTTCATTTGTGATATCTGAATCTGGTGCCAGAAATGACTGCAAGATCAAAGGTGTCTGATTGTGATGACTTCACAGAGAAAAAGGATTAAAATGCAAACCAAAGCCTTTAACTGCTTACTGAAGCATATTTATGTAGAAGTTTAATGATAGAAAATCATCTCCAAGCATGTGCATAGCACATATACCTTAATTATTATGTTTTAAAGTCTGTCTTTTAAAAGTAACTGTAAAGAGAATAGGCATTTTAACATATAGGATTCAACAGAGCATGTATCATTCAATAATTTACACTTTAAAGTGATAGTTCAGAAAACGTTCTGCTTCATATTTTGGTATGTACCGCCACGGACAAATGGCAAGACCTGTGTCTCAATTGTGAAAGTTGCCAAATATTTAGTGAACTGAAGCTGTGTGGATGTCTAATTAGATTAATCCAGGTTTCAATGATTGATTTTTGAGTAATTATTTTGTCAATTTAAGCAAAATCATGTTTATGTTTCTGCTGTACTAACTAGATGAACACAGGAACATAATTGTAGCTATTTTTTTTAAGCATTACAAGTAAAAATACTCTTTGAATATAATGCCGGAGAACTCATATGGTATCAAAGCATATGGCATTCTTAATATAAAATGGACATATATATGGAATAAGATTTATAGAAGGCATTAAGGCATTCCCTTGGGAGTTCTCAATAAGTTATTGTGCAAATTTAAATGCATATGTGCATAAGGCTCACTTGGTTGGTTTTTTTGGTCCTATTTTGTTTTTACTATTGTTTTCCCTTAGTGCTAACATCCACTTTCCGTTACTGTTTGGTCGGCTGGCCTGCATCATACATCTTGCTGTGTAATATTTCTCTGTTTATCTTGGTGATGATCACAATACTTTTCTTTGTTTATGTTTATGCTCCCTTATTATTTATTTCCCATTTTTCTTTTCTTCCATGTTCTGGACATGTCAGTATTGACAACAGCAAATGCTTTACATTCAAAACTCTTTTTTTCCACACATCTTTGATTTTTCATTTTTATTTTATATTTACTATTATTATTATTATTTTATTATTATTATTTTTAGACAGAGTCTCACTCTGTTGCTCAGGTTGGAGTGCAGTGGTGCCATCTCTGCTCACTGCAACCTCTGCCTATCAGGTTCAAGTGATTCTCCTGCCTCTGCCTCCCAAGTAGTGGTTGGCACGTGCCACCATGTCCAGCTATTTTTTTTGTATTTTTAGTAGAGATGGGATTTCACCATGTTGCCCAGGCCGTTCTTGAACTCCTGAGCTCAGGTGATCCGCCCACCTCGGCCTCCCAAAGTACTGGGATTACAGGCGTGAGCTACCGCACCTGGCCCAATCTATCATTGTTTTAGAGGGAAATAAAAATGTTCAAGTGATATCAGTAATATGGCCAGTCTTTATTAGGCTTTATCTATTATAAACAGGGGAAATAATTTTTGGATAAAAATTGACATAATGGAATATAAATGTTTGATAAGGCATCAAATAATGAATTTAGCCTTACATTTCCAGCCCCCTTTTAACAACAAAAAATTAGCATATGCTGTAAAGTCAAAGTCTATAGCATGAATAACGTATTGTATTTCTTCATTAAAAGGCCAAATAAGGATTGCTCTAGCATACTCAAGAAAACAAAGTAAAGTGATTCTACTAGGTATATTCTCCACTTGCTCCATCCAGACCCACTCTCTAGCCCCTTCACTCTGCTGTGTGCCAGGAGCTGACCCTCCAGACTGCATCACCCAGGCTCTCCTGCTCTCTGGCTTCCCACTGGTCAGTGGAGGAGGCACCAGCAATAGCACAGAGAGCAGGAGGGAGCAAGGTCAGGGTATTTTTTTTATAGTGGCGTCATCCTTGCTGGGCCACAGGCTGGCTGAGGCTGCGTTTCTCTAGCGAAGACTCCGTCTCTTTTTGAGTTGCTCTCTCCTGTACACATAGATCTTGCTGTGATCTGGTACTTTTCCCCTCCACTTACTCCTTTAGGCCTAGAGGTGGGAACAGCTTCTAGGTTGCAAGCCCTAATGTACTTCATTATTCTCTCAGGTTTCCCTTAATTCTACCCATCTGTAAACAGTCCTTTTAACAAACTCTCTTCAATTACCCTTTAGAGTTTGCCATCTGTTTCCTGCGCAACCTTGGGCCATAAGAGAAACTCTAGATCTAGAACATTGGTAATCTACAGGGGTGGGATTGTCTCCTTAGGGAGCATTTTGGAAATCTGTTGGACTATCTTTGGGTATCACAATGACTGGAGGGTGTGGCTATTACCCCGGCTCAAGCAGTGCCATCTCTTGCCTAGATAACTGCAGTCATGTCCTAACTGATTTACCTGCTCCAGTCCTTGCCATTCTTTGTATTTGCAACCCAGAAATCAGATTGGCCCTTTAAAAGCTTAAGTCATGCCAACACTCCTCTGCTCAAAACCCCGTGAGGGCTCTTAACTTAGAATAAAAACTCGAGATGAGAGTTTTTGCTTCCAAGGGTCCACAGGCCCTCTTAAGTTCTAGCTTTTGCCAACCTCTGTTATCTCATCACCTAACACCTTCTGCCTCCCTGGTTCATTTCCATGACGAACTGCATCACCTTCTTCAAGTCTCTGCTCAAAATCTGGCCTTGTCTTGGAAGCCCACCCTGACCACCCTATTTAATCCTGTAATTTGTCCTGTCACTTGCCCATATCCTGATCTCTTTTTCCTGCTCTTCCTTTCCCTTGGTTATAAAATCATTTATGATGTTGGTTAAATAGTGCCCTTTTGCTATGAGGCAATGCAGAGCCTACTCTACCTCTTATTACAGGAACTTAATATTTTTCTTCAAAGGAGAATTTTTAGAAAGACACTGTACTAACACAAAAGTAAAGCTTCTATTTACTGTATATTATTTATTGAGCAGGCACTGTGCTGTATAATTGATATACATGATATGATATAACCCTTTAAACATCCCTTAACTATAGATATAATTCTTCCCTTTTCAAACTGGTAAGATTAAGTAAGTGGCCCAAAGTCATCTATCTAGTGACTGAGTCTGTTGCTTTTGCTACCAAAACACTATGCAACACAGTATAAGTTTTTGGATAGAAATAAAATGCTGTAGTAGAAATCGTTCTGTTAAGTGAATAAGGGCTAGATATTAGAAGCTCATTATCTATGGACCACATAAATAATAAACCAAATGGGTTCTCATGAAATGTGGGTGAGTATCTACACTGGAGCGTCTGAGATTTCAGGAAAAAAGAAATCTTAAAGACTCCTCTCTTCCATATTAACTTAGAGTTGGTATTTTAAAGCCATCTCTGGGCTACAAATGTTTTAATTTGAATTCACTGTTACTACTTATAAATGTTTAACTGTTACTAGGTATCTAAGGATCTGCTATAAAACTATATCTTCCCTGAATATGCTATAGAATGTTGGTTGTGTCTCATTAGAGAGTAAAGCCCATATCCCCTTCACCCCTGGGGTGAAATAAAGAGGATTATTAATAATTATGTAATGAGTTCAGGACCATCCTAACAACCAGGTCAGTGAAAGTCATTCTACTTCTTCCTTTCTCTGACTATTATCCCCTAGAATTAATTCTTCAGTTTCTAGAATTCTGGATCAGAAACAATTGGATGATAATGATTATTATAAAACTACTTTGTGATTGGCTAAGCAGTCAAATATAATTATGGTATCAGAGTATACTTCAAAATTTCAAAATTCATAAAATATACCAAGATCATTTGTATTCTATTTATCTTTTGCTTTGTTTCCTTATCTGTATCAAGAACTACCTATGATAATTTTTTAAAATTTAATTTAATTTTAGATACATGTGCATGTTTGTTACATGGATATATTGCATACTGGCGGGGACTGGATTTCTAGTGTACCCATTACCCAAATAGTGAACACTGTACCTAAGAGCTAATTTTTCAAACTTCACCCCGCCCTGCTACCTTCCCCGCTTTTAGAGTCCCCAGTGTCTATTATTTCCATCTTTATGTCCATGTGTACCCATTGTTAACTCCCACTTCTAAGTGAGAAGATACGGTATTTGATTTTCTGTTTCTGAGTTAAAGGAACTATCTATAATTTTGAAAGCAAATTATAAACTTAAAAATGAACACACTGAGAAGATATTTTAGAGAATCAGAATGAACACTAGCCTTTCTATCAGAAATCTCAGTTATAGTCCAGGTTATGTAATAAATTGTCATTTAACCAGGCAGGTCATTTAATCTCCCTTGACCTTGATTTCCTTATCTAAGGCATGATGGTTGTATCCATGAAGAGACGAAGCAGCTCTAAACATTTTAGGGAATGCAAATGCTATAATCGCATATAAATATTTCCAAGAAATTGGCATTATTCTTTTTCTCTTTGACTTTTCAAAATTAGGAAACTTGAAAACATCTACATTTAAACATTTTTTTTTTTTTTTTGGTCTAAAAACTGAAAGCCAAGAAGTAGTTAAAAACACCAAACTTGCAAAGACTTCAGGGCCAGACTCCAACTTTTACAAACACTCAAGATAGGAAGAAAGAGAGAATTTGGGGTGATTAAATAAAATGCTGTCAGCAGAATTGGCTATGTAATTTTCAGGACCCAGTGTAAAATGAAAATGTGGGGGCCCTTTTAAAAAAAGTATAAAGAACTTCAAGACAATGACAGCACAGTATTTAACCAAGTGCAGCCCTGTGAGAACAGGGCCAGGTCGAGGGCCCGTGAAGCCAGTCCCAGCTTTGAAGGACACAGACATGACAGCTAAAAACTTTTAGTTTTTATCCCTGAACAAAGTGATCATGGTTACCGTAGTGAGTCATAATCGGAAAAGTATCTGAACTCTTATCCAAAACCCACTATTTTCCCAAACTTACCACAAGGAAAAGTCCAATAAAAAAGTCAAATAAAATAGTTTAAGTAAAATATTTTTAGTTAATGCGCCCTCTTTTATTTAATGCGAATGATTGAACTGAATCTTCCCCCCACCCTTTTTTTTTTTGCCACTAATGACACCTTTAAATTTTGATTAACCATTACCAGCTGCTGGGCCCTAGTAGAGGAAAAAAAAAAGTCATACAACTCTGATGACTTGTGAGGACCAATTGCTGGTTATCTAAATTCCCTCAAGGCTGCCTGACAAGTCTATCATGGACTTATTCATTCCCTCTCCATCCCCTACTTCTCATGATGTCTAACTTCTCAGTCCTTTTTCAAGCACCTGCTTCCCCCTTCCCTAATTAACTACAGAAGCTAAACTAAATATATTAGAAAAAAGAAAATAGCCAGGCCTGGTGGCTCACATCTCTAATCCCAGTACTTTGGGAGGCCAAGGCGGGTGGATCACTTGAGGTCAGGAGTTCCAGAACAGCCTGGCCAACATGGTGAAACCCCATCTCTACTAAAAATACAAAAACTAGCCAGGCCTGGTGGCAGGCACCTGTAGTCCCAGCTACTTGGGAGGCTAACGCAGGAGAATCACTTGAACTCGGGAGGCGGAGGTTGAGGGGAGCCAGGATCACGCCACTGCGCTCCATCCTGAGGCACAGGGTGAGACCCCGTCTCAAAAAATAAAAATAAAAATAAATAAAAATAAAACAGAGGTCATTATATGGTCACCTACTCAGCATCATTCTATCCAGCTACTACCTTGGCTACACCTGGCTACATCTGTAACACCGTCTTGTTTAGGTCCCATCCTCCTTCCCTTCCTTGAGAAGCTTGGTCATTTTATCTCCATTGTACCTGTATGTTCAATCTTTTCGTTCCTCCAAACACTTCTCCTCTGCATGTAAATAATCTCAAGTGCTTTCATTTTAACTTCTCCCTTGATCCTACATACAGCATTATTTCTCTCTCTTCACAGCACATTATTTTGAAGAAAATATATACTGTTTCTTTCCACTTACTCCCTTCCCTTTTACTCTCAAGCAACTTGCACCCGCCTCTCATTCGTTCAGCCCCTTTCCTAACTTCTGCTGGTTCCTCAGACGGAGGTGTTTTCTCTTGCTGTGAAGCCCAGCATGAACCATGGCAAACCCAGCATGAGGAAATGCTGGTCGACACAGTTCCAAATCACCCATGAATTATTTCATGTAATTGAGGAATATGGGCATAAATTATAGTATACCAACAGGTGACTACAATATTAAATTTTCTGTTTTAAAAGGGAAACTCTTCAAACTGGGTCTTCGAAATAGAAAAACAGTCTTGTAATGTTTTTAAAGAGGTGGAGACACTCTCTACATACAAAGGGCAGAGTGTCCTTGCCCTGCTGTAAATGTTTTAGCAGCTGTGGAAACTTTCAACAAAATTGACTTCCAGCAACTCAGAGCAATGTGCAAAAACTGGGCTTTTCATCGTGAAGACTGAAGCACTTACTAAAGAGATGGAGACTCTGTGGCATAGCTCAGAGCTGGGTGGCTCCTTCTCACAGCTCTGCCCGTAAACTCTAATGTGGTTTTTCAGCCCCTGCCACACACTGCTGCACCCCTTAAGATATCATGTATCTCGATTTTGAATTCTTTATATAACAGGCTGAAATCCTGTGAGGGAATGCAGGTGTGTATCACACGTCTCTCTCCCTAAAGTATGAGAAAAATGATCCAATGTGCATTCCCCCAGGACTTTAGGGGTTAAAACTCCACCTAAATTATCACCTCCATTGAGTGATCAGCAGTACTGCATATATCTGTCTTTATTCCAACTGTGCAGGGGATTCTTACTGTCTGACACACCTAAGGTACTCTGCCTTAACATCCTACACTTACAAACCTTAATGCACAGCTGCTCCACACCAATGTATTATATAGCAAGAGAAACTCAGACCATAAGAACTAAAAATTGGCCCAAGTGGTGTGGCACAGTGGCTCACGCCTGTAATTCCAACACTTTGGGAGGCCCAGGCGGGTGGATCACCTAAGGTCAGTAATTCAAGACCAGCCTGAACAACACAGAGAAACCCCGTCTCTACTAAAAATACAAAATTAGCTGGGCGTGGTGGCACATGCTTGTAATCCTAGCTACTCGGGAGGCTGAGGCCGGCAGAGGTTGCGGTGAGCGGAGATTGCACCATTGCACTCCAGCCTGGGCAACAAGAGTGAAATTCCGTCTCAAAATAAATAAATAAATAAATAAATAAATAAATAAATAAATAAATAAATAAATAGATTGGCCCAAAGGAGCCGCTTCTCTTTTCCTTCTGGGCAAAATAAAATCCCAATGGATATTTTATCATTTAATAATTCTGGACATAACAAGTATGCATAGCTGCATATAATACTAAATACTCCATTTCATAAGGTGCCCACTATGAATGTGTGCATATAATACTCAGTTTTATGAAACCTTTAAGAATTTACAGTACTTAGCTTTCCTTCATGATACAGTGTATTAAAAATTCTGATTCAACAAAAGTTCTACTGCTGACATTATTTCATTTAACAAAAGAAGCAGATAGGTATTTATGAGGACAGAAATTTTAATATGCACACACATTTTGTAAATAAGTTTTCAAGTGTTCGATTTAATTCAATACAGGTTTGAGTGTGCAGCTACTATGGTAAAATATCAATTTATCTTGTGAGTGAAGTTGTGAATTTGGCCTCGAGCTTTGTCCCCACATATCTGCACTTGTAATCACCAAAACATATTTTCACTTCAGTCTCTCTCAATTCTCAGGTTTAGGCTGTTTTGCTAACTTACAAAAAATGAACTTTTTTCGAAAGGAACTGATTACCTACTGCGGAGCTTGTATACAATTAGGGTTCAGACACTAACATTAGTTATTCAGAAGGCATGTGAGCCTTGGGTTTCACCCCTTTATGCCACAAAATTAACATTATTTGATTGATGACAGAATCTAACAAAAAGTATGCACTTTCCTCCTATATATGTGGACAACAAAATAATACATGCAGTTATTTCTCTTAAATATCTGGCAAGGCATATGATTGACTGTTAGAATTTTTTTCATTTGGTTAAAACAAAAATTAGCCAAATGTTAAAGCATGGAAAGTGTTGGTGGCAAAGCGGATAATATTCTGATAAAGCTTTAAAATCACCCCAGCACACAAACATGTTGAAATCTTACCATTAGGTTTCATGCAGTCTGTTCCCTGCAGCGAGCATTAGCTTTAACCCTTCAGTGCTGTTGTTGAATTTTATGTATAGGGAGAGGGGCTGAAGTTTTATTCAGAAATCAGCTTTTATTTAGGTGACGACTGTCAGTTTACATGAAAGAATTGCTGACCCACTTGTGTATCAGCTCTCAGCAAACAATGTATAATCTTATGTATTTTATGGCAATTCTCAAACTTGCTTGGAAGGAGGTTCCAGTGTTTTACTCGTGTATTGTGATTTGCATGCACTGCGTGTTTAAAAGATTGTGTAAATTCAGGGTGTGTCTCATAAATCTTTCTCTTCCTGCTGTGAACTGTTCTACCTCAGAATGAACTTTTCGATGGCAACTCCGTTAGATTACATAATCTCAGCATCTTTTAGGGTTTGCTTTCTAAATGAGCTGCCTGTGGGATGAGATGGCTATTTATCTGTTTGACTTTCCGAAGAGTCTTAGAGAAAGCCATCACTGAGAGGGTTAACGTATGTTACTGCAGCAGTTATCAGCAGACCAGCCATCTACCTTTGGTACTTACAGGAATTTTATGACTCTTGATCATATTATCAAATTCTTCATTAATTTTTTTGTATTTTTCTTCAGTGCGTGGGGTGAGTGCATAAGAGGAGTCGGGATCGGGGCTTTCACAGCCTTTGTTTTCTTTCTTGTTCAATGCCTGCCAGGTTCAGAGAAATATCAAGAGTAAAAAAAATGAAGGGTGTTCCGAGTACTTACACACAATCTTTGCCTGCTGATCATTAGATCAATATCTTCGTTAATTTTCCTGTACTTGTCCTCAGACTCAGGGCTGTGACCTACTGAATCGTCCGCATCGGGGTCTGGGCTGTCACAGCCATTAAGGCCCTTCTTTCTCAACGTCTGAAATACATAATTCAGAAAGTTCAAACCTAGACAAAGGCTGTAAGAGACATTCAGGGGCATTAAAGAAGTTCAAGCTGTCCAGTATTTCAGGTTATTACATATGCTTTATTCTATTAGGGAAGAGAAACCACGGATGAAAACTGAGTCATTTCAATTGAGTGCTCATCAGCAGTTTAAAAAAATAAAAGCGAAAGATTCCTCTTGCAACTAAATTCAGTCAACCAACAGAGGGTATAAGGACTCAAGTTTCATGATGCAGAATTCACATGTGCTTCAAATATCTAGTGAGAGACAATTATAGCAGAATACAATTAAGGTGGCAAATTGCAACACTCTCTTCCCACAGAAAAATTAGAAATCAGGACGTTACTCAATGATTTCTGAACCTGTGATGATGACAAAAGCAGAAATGCTGGAAACAGATCCAAGTGTGAATTGAAACTAATGGTTTGCATTAGTCGTGTCCTGCGCCCACAGCCTCCACTTCTGATGTACTTGACAGCTAAAGGGTATAAGAGAACATAGCTAATATCCCCACCAAGTATAGGTGAAGAATGCTCAGACACTGTGCCTATGTGGAGAACTACTTTTGTTTGTTAGGGTGTGAAAATCTTATCAAAATTTATAATACTGAGAAGGTCTCTTCCTAAACACAGGTGGAAAGAAAAGTGAAAACAGCTGAGCTGAGTAAGGAAGACGAAGGACACTGAAAACAGGTAACCAAATCAATAACTACCAAACTAGCCAGGGTTCCTCCTAGTTTTTCAGCTGAGTAGGAATCGCCCTGAGACTGACACACGAAAGTAAAACGTCAGTGCCTCATCTTGAACCTCCTGTTTCCTAGATGTGGGTCTGGTCTAGTCTCAGCTGTCACAGAAGAATAAATACTAATGTAACATTGTAACAGAAAAAGTATGAGTTAGGAGTCCTGAGTTTTATTTGTTTTTTTAAATTTGAGACAGAATCTTGCTCTGTCGCCCAGGCTGGAGTGCAGTGGAGCGATCTTGGCTCACTACAATCTCTGCCTTCTGGGTTCAAGTGATTCTCCTGCCTCAGCCTCCCGAGTGGCTGGGTACATCACCATGCCCAGCTAATTTTTGTATATTTAGTAGGCACCGGGTTTCTCCATGCTGGCCAGGTTGGTCTCAAATTCCTTGCTTCATGTGATGCGCCCGCCTCAGCCTCCCAAAGTGCTGGCATTATAGGCTGAGCCACCACACCTTGGCCTGCTTTTTTTTTTTTTTTAACTAATGGTTGTCAATGTAATTGTATACAATTCGATTTACAGAGATAATGTTATGTTTTTAGAGATCATAAAACTTCTGATTAATCATACAGCTTGCCATGTTAATTATTAATAGACTAGCAACATTTCTTAATTTTCCTGGTACCACCAAGATCCGTTATAAAGAGATGCATACCTAAGTGTTTCTCATTAATGGAAAGTTCAGCAGAGCTCATCTTTATTAAAGACAGAATTCACATACAAATAAAGCAAAAGCTGCAACATCAAGCTAAGGAATTCAAAGCTGAGATAACACCCCATCTTTAATTCATGCAATTGGGGAAAATAAATAAAACAACATGAGTTAAAAAGGGGGGTGTCAGTCTTAAAAATCTAAACTCCTTGGCTCTTACCAATGTGTAACAAATGTAACATTATTTAAAATTAGTTTCTGAGGCACTGAATATTTTCACTTAAAATCAAAAATCAAGAAAGCTATCATTTCTAATATATCTAGGATACACAGTAGCTCTGTAAATATTTATTAACGTTATAGTGGTATAATATAACAAATAAACATATGGTTACAGCTTATTATGTGGTAAAATGTTTGAATATTAAAATGAATATTTTGACACAGTATGATAAAATATACATTTACAATCTTGGGGAATTTATAATTGGTGGGGCCACCTGTCCCCTTATCGTTGATCTACAGGCATCATTTTTCATTCATAATAAGTACTTTTAGAGGCTTTCTACCACAATACTATAAAGAACATCACAATACATTGGAATAATAATTTCATTTACTAACTTAACTTCCTGTGCTTCATACTCTTTTCTTATTATCTCAACTACAAGAACATTCCTCTGGCTGATAACTGTTGTATTATGATGTGTTTCTGCTTTGATCTCTACATATCTTTGAGCTTTTAAGAATACTTTCTGAGTGTTTTGCATTATATTCCATGTATTTTTCATTAGAATTCATTTGTATAGAGAAAAATAGGTAAGATCAAGAAAATATTATTTGATATTTTTCAAAAGTTATCTATCTATATTTCTATAAGACATGTTAAAAATATTATTTCTTTCTCTCTCTCTCTCTCTCT